AACTGTTAAAATACCCAAAGTTTAGGCCAAAATATCTCCAATGCCCAAGCATGCTTCAAAAAGCTGAGCATACCGTCTAAAATGTGGGACTTCATACTAACATTATCTGCAAAAAAATCTTTGGGCACTCACTAAATTATTTTACAGGAGGACTGCAAACTTGTCCCCCACCGCAGGTTACCCGCTTCAGCTTTTTTTCATTATAACGCGTTGATTCTGTAATTATGGCACAGCAACAGACAGAAAATGCCACAAAATGGTTACACACCATACACTTTAATGAAATAGAACCAATTATATTTAATTGCTTAAATAAAAACAAATACTTTGCCCACCACAGGGTACCCGCGTACATTTTTCATCACTAAAGCAGGAGATGGAACCATTGAGGTAGGAATAATGTGCCTTCTCTTCTGTCTTTATCGCTCGCTGCCCACTGTAAACTAGTTTCTCTTGAGTCCGCTCTTTGTTGCGCTAACCGATTACAAATTTGGATAACTGATAAGAAAGCCAAGAAAGATGTCAAAGCCTATATTCTTCAGAGTATTAGTTTCAAAAGTACATTGATTTTCACTTACATAAGGATAAAACATTGGTTATGCACATAAGCGTGCGCAAAAGTTAATGGGACGGAGTACATTTTAAATCCAAATCAACAGCCACAGGAAAAAGCAAGCGATAAAGACAGAAGAGAAGGCACATGATTCCTACCTCAATGGTTCCATCTCCTGCTTTAGTGATGGCCACCGATAGATGCCAGGACTTCCCCTTCTTTCCAAACCAGTCGTGCTGCGTTTCCCAAAAACTGGTTGGAATGAACTTCATTGCCCAGTCCACTCTGAGCAGCATGTGCAATGGTTTCAGGTTATCAATAATTTTACTCTTGGCCTCGTCCTGGTGAACTGAACAGAGAACGTGTGACTTCCAATCCTCTACGCTCGACGCAGCGCAGCTTGAATCAGGCTGTAACTCCTCTGGTTTATCAGGACTGAAAATGGATTATTTTACAGCCAAACGCTTTTCTCCTTTTTAGGCGTATTAAGCAACCAAAATTGAGTCGTAAGCGAAATAATTTATTTCCAGTAGAACAAAATCTTTTTGATAAAGTTGTCTGTATCAAGATGTGATGTCAGCCGTGCAAGTTTCAAGCAAATGTATTATTCCATTATTAGACGAACAAAAGCCATTTTTTTATTATAAAATCATTCTCACATTCAAATACAGACAAAGTAAGCATTTTGATAGTGTTCTATGAGTCCTGGTTTGACTTAGCGAAGAGTGAGTCCCGTCACATAGTTCACTTATACAATAACAGAGGTCATTATTAAGCTGCCGATTCTTATTTTTATGGCTGAGGTAAAACAAAAGCTTTCAAAATGGTTCTATTTCATTAAAGTTTATGGTGTGTAACCATTTTGCAGCACTTTCTGTCTTGCTATGCCATTATTACTGAATTGGCGCGTTATAATGAAAAAAAATGTACGCGGGTACCCTGTGGTGGGCAAAGTATTTGTTTTTATTTAAGCAATTAAATATAATTGGTTCTATTTCATTAAAGTGTATGGTGTGTAACCATTTTGTGGCATTTTCCGTCTGTTGCTGTGCCATAATAACAGAATCAACGCGTTATAATGAAAAAAAAAACTGAAGCGGGTAACCTGCAGTGGGGGACAAGTTTGCAGTCCTCCTGTAAAATAATTTAGTGAGTGCCCAAAGATTTTTTTGCAGATAATGTTAGTATGAAGTCCCACCTTTTAGACGGTATGCTTAGCTTTTTGAAGCATGCTTGGGCATTGGAGATATTTTGGCCTAAACTTTGGGTATTTTAACAGTTTTCACTGTTGGGTGAGAGAGGCGGTCTTGGCTGACATGATTTGTGTGATGAAACTCGTCGTAGGAGAACGAAATGTTGACAATAGATTGTCCTTGGGTAGGATAACATTCACTGAAAATATGAAAAGATTTGGCTGAATTCTTAAAGCAGTAGAGCTTTATACTTCTGACCATTTTTTAGGCGATTTTTGGTCATTTTTGCAAAAAAAACAAGGAGGGGTGGTGAAATCCCCCCAGTTTGACCAAATTTCCTTAAACTTAGACTGAAATAATTTTGGGTGGACCCCTTTAAACTGGCAAAGTTTCGCTGAAATCGGTGAGATGGCTTGTGCCACCCCCGCCTGGTCCTATCGTGAATGCACTCTTAAAATGCGCTCAGCTCGTAGAAAAGTCAGTTCATAAAAACCTCTGCTAAAAACGCTGCTCATAGAAAACTTTTCAACTTGGGCAAATTTGTGTTGAACGCGCTTTCCACTGTTTTCCAACTAATGTTTGGTCGCTCACCTGTCAGAGGAGCTGCACTGCAGACACCTGGTAGCATCTAATGGACCTGCATGTGAGGCGTTCAGGGAACATTGGTAAAATGTACCATCAACTCATACACATGTTCAGCAAGCGTTTAGCCTGTTTCCAGCTAATGACTGATATCAGAAGAGGATGGGTGACAAAATAAATATATTTTCAGGTTTAAACATTTTACAAATGTATCACTGAAAATCAATGCAGCATAACTAAGTTATGCAAAAACAGCTGTTCATCAGCATGCATGATGGATTAATAGCTGTGGCAATGCTGAACCAAAATAAGGGGGTGGGGCGAGTAAATCATTAGCTGGTGCAACCAATGAAGAAAGTAGGTAATACCAGTGCTACCATTGGAAAAGTTAGTCTGGAGCCCTGCTACATGTGTTTTACTTTTAGATAAAGGCATGCAACAATAGTTGTACATACAATAAATAGCAATCAAATGCAGAGACAATTATATAACAGTATGTTAAGGAGTCGTTACATTTATACAGTCTTTCAATTACAACTGGCCCTTTGAGGGCAAACATAATGCTTATGTGGTCCGGGATGAAAATTAGTTTGACACCCCTGACCTGGAGAGATGGAATTTTCCAACATAAAAAATATCATGATTCTGTAAAGACTTGATTTCTATATCTTCTGTATGACATACAAGCTCATTCATATACTCATGAGTGTATTGTTTTTCTCCTTCACAGATGTCACCTACTGAAGCAAGCTGACACAAAATCAGTCAAGAACAAGGACGCAACATGGCATCTCAATTCCTGAAGTACTCGGTACTTCTTCAGAAATACCGGACTCCGCTGCTCATTGCGAGCTGTGGTGGGGTCTTTGCAGCCAACATGTTCTACCATGTTTGCCCTGACATGTCCTATCGTCAGCTCTATCAAGCCTGGCACAATGGAGAGCCTGTCACGCTGTCTGAAAAGCTGGAGGATGTTTTTCAGCAGGTAGCGTATTTGTGTGCAGAGGTTTCACCTCAAGGTCACATTAAGTAGAATTTTATTGTAAACTTAGTTAGATCTTTACAAATATCTGCAGAGGGTGTAGATGACATACAGTCACATTACACCTAGAAGCACACTACTGACAGCCACTGAGCTATATTAAAGAACTGTGTTTTGGCAATAACATTTATATTGGTAATGGCTACTTGAATTGAATGCATGCACAATATTTTTACAACAGTTTATTACAGCACACAAAAAGTTTATTTTCCACTTACAAAACATTAAACAGTGCTTAATGGGGAAAAAGTGATGTAGAATAAAATTAGTTGTGTTGTTGTTTTTATTTGTAGGTGTTGAAGGACTATGGTGTCAGCTCCGCCAAGAATTTCTCTGCCTTTGCCTCCTTTGGCTTCCATCCAGTCGGTGCCGGTGTTCCATGGCTTCCCGAAGGGGCCCAAATTGGCATCCCAGCCAACTTTAACAGCAGTGCCAAAGACCCAAGTGGAATTACCAATCGCACCATTTTCATCAATGGCAAAACAGTGGATTGGAGCAGTGAAGTTGGTTCTGCTCTAAAGGAGGCACTGGTGTTTTCCCACGATGCACAGAAGTTCGCCATAGCGCGAGAGGTGGCCCGCTTGCAATCTGGAGGACCTATTATAAGTGCAGCTGTTGCCCCGTTCTGTCTTAGTGGGGTTTGGGTGTACAGTGTGGTGCTGAAGCAGGTGTTTGGGCTTCACACTGGGCCTATGCTGCTTCGTGGAGCTGCAAATGTTCTCGGGCTGGGCATTGGTGCTGTTTCCTACTTACTCACCTCAGATGCTGTCAACCAGTGGATTGACAATAGCTCAGACCGGTGTGCAGCAGGAGTGTCCCATGATTATGCCAAAGGAGGGGTAGAATTTTATGATAAAATTCTGTCCAGAAACAAGACACTGCGCTCACTGATGGGGCAGAAAGGAGAGGAGATGTATGCTCCCAGTGGGAACTTGTTTCCTGCTCACATCCTTCAACTGAAACACACACCATACACATCCAGGAGGGAAGGGATCCTTGCTTTGCTGAAAGAGGAGAAAGGGTGAAAAGACAGTTTGTGTTTAGAATTAAAGTAGATGTCACCTAAACAGCTGTAACGATCCACTGTAAGTTATGCTTATTTGTGAATAAAATGTTTCAAGAATGGCAGACTGGATCCTTAAGACTTTTTAAGTTGTAAAACCAGAGCTAAGGAATGAACATTTTGTTCATAGAAGTATGTCAACCCACATATACTGATTGATAGTTTTGTGTTTCATGAATCCCAAAGTGTAGAACAGTGGTTCTAAAACTTTTTACAGTGTGTACCACCTAAGAAAATATCAAGCTCTCCAAGTACCACCATTATGACCAACCTGAACATACAGTAGTGAAGGCTTACCCTTTTGACTGTTCACAAAGGAGGCATGCTTACTCTGAATATGAGGATTATTTATTGATAATTGTTGCCAGCAACAGCCACACTGTACACAACAGTAGCATTATAACTATATATAACAAAACAAGGTGCAGCACCTCTTTACCTCTCATAGACACAGCAAGCAAGAACATTAAGAACAACAGCTGTGTTTCTTACACACACTCGCTCTCTCGCGATGTCAATGCCGGTTCAAGTGAGACACATTTGTATTATTTCTAAATTAACATTTAATGTCATTAAATTAACACTTAATGTCATTTTAACCATACATTTGTCAACCGACTGCAGTTGCCAGCAGGACGTAGGTCGTTTACGTTTTGGGAAGATATTGACGTTTAATTTAACGTCAACGTTTTAGACATCTTCTGCTTGGCAGAAAGAGCATTAGTTACTTTTTTCCAAATAAACTGTTTCTTAAAACTGAATACACTGAAAATGCCCACGAGTAAACCCATTTTGTGTCATCTTACATGTGTTAGGCTACATGAAAATCAGTAATGAGTGAGCAAGGGATGATAACAGAAGCAGTGGGCACATAGACTCAGAATATTTTTATTTTCATTTAACTCAACATATCAAGCTTTTTTTTTTCCTTAAGCAAAAATATATTCAAAGAATACTTTCAGTGATATGTGTGTTGAAGTTTGATTGAAGTGTGGTTTACGGTTCCTTTTATTTCTTTTCAGAATAAAATGTATAAAGTAAAGTAAATAGTATTTTATTCTTCTATAGACCAACATCACAACATTTCGGGAGGGCACATTAAATTGGGAGTGGACACTTATCAGTGCCCAATGTGCCACAAGGTAGGGCCATACCATGGCCTAATTCCACATTTACAAGGCCACCAGAAGTCCATTGTTAAATATGGAGGTAAGTTCAACTACAGATATTGATCAAATTTTGTTAATACCAATGCCATTATTGATTTCCCTTATTGATCTGATTCTTTGTCAATTATGTTATCGATTTATGGTCAGTAGGCTATTCTATGTGGAGAAACTTAACTGTTCTATTATTGTCACTGTTTATCTTTTGGCTTCCTATAAATAGTCTGGAGACTGCACTTCCCTGCACTTGAGTTCTGCCTTTGTTGAGCAGCATCAGATGATATTGGTTCCAAATTCAATTTGTTTTTGATTTTCAACTGGAAGTGGTTATCAATTTCCCATCCCATCCCTAATTGTTGTTACACTGTATGATAAATAGAGATTACTATGAATTCTTAAAAAGCACTTTCTGTTTAATCAAATTTTAGGAATGTGTAGCCCAGTCTTCATAAGTAAAGTGAAGAGAAAGAAAAATAATGTTAAAGATTTATTTTTCAGCACGTATTAGTGATAGCTGGCATTTATAGAGTTATCTCCATGTCCCTGAACGGAGCGAGCATTGCGTCATCACGTCACAGCCAACCGCGTTGCAGGAGAGCGCGGCGCGCAGCGTGAGGGCAGTACTGGCAAAAGTTGTCCAGAAGTTCAAAACTGAGCGAAACGGTTAAAGTTCACTGTCGGTTGAAGATACGGAGTTTTTAGTTGGTGTTAACTGCTCGGCGGTAACTTAATTGTTATGTTTTGCGTCGAGTAAAAGCGGGCTAGCCGTGGCTAATGTTAGATGCTAACCGTAAATGCCATGCCTCGTGTCCGTTAGCCGCTAAGCTAGCTATGAACATGAACTTGTATCATAGACTGTATAAAAGATGGACGTAGCAACCGGCCCTGAAAAATGAAGCCAACCCGGAAGTGTCAAAAACCTGTGTCCGCGAGCTGCTGGCTCCAAAAAGCCCTGGCTCCCTTAGACTTGAATTGGAAAAGAAGTGATCACAGATCACGAAATACTGCATTCCTACAGCTCAGGATTTTTTTCTTATTAGTTTTCATAGTCAAATTCAGAGATCAGGTGGCCAATCTGAAAATAAATCAATACTGAATTTTTTAAAAATCGTCAAAATTTTGCAGGGCAAGGGGCGTGGCTGGCTTGACTGACAGTCGGCAGGGACGATGCATACGAAGCAAGCACAAGGCGGTAAATGTGGGCGGGTAGAGAGGGCCTGCCTCTCGATCCATCTGACCAAACGCTGCTCCTATGGCTCCGCCCCCTCTGATGATTTTTGCGTCACTAGCGAGAAGGGTCTGACTGCAGTCGGAGCCAAGGCACAGCCGCTACAAACCACGCCCCTACAAACCACGCCCACATGACCCTACGTGGCTGTGGGGTTCCACATCATGTCAAATGTAAACAGAAGGGAAATAAAGCAATAATGCAATAACGTGAGCAATTTTACCAACTTTAAGGGTTGATTCACACCATTAAATGCCTTCCAATGCAAACAATGTGCTTGATACAATAAATAGATTTTTTTTAAATCAGAAAAAAAAAAACAGAAAGCAATGTAAATAAATCTGGTGCATGCAGCCTTTTTTTTGACTAAAGTACACAAGTTTATTTCGGACTAAAATTAATATATATTAATAATAATAACAATAGTAATTAGTAGCAGTTATTTCAATTAAAATAGGTTGTTTACACCTAGAGCCACAGTGTCACAGCTTGGCCTACTACATCACATGCCATAAATATCACTCAAAGGTGATGATTTCTTATGGGCTAACACAAAAGATAGCTGGCCCTTTGACACAAATAAAATGTATTTATTTAGAACCAAGTAGGCTACAATATTTTTGAATTAAGTATACAATTCTCAAGACTAGCAAAATGAATGGCCATACACCCATCTTCAAAAAGTGTACCTTAAAACGCAAAAGTTTAAAAGTTTTATTTTAGAAAAAAATCAGATATGAAACAGCCAGCAACAGCTTTTACTGTTTTGTGGTCAATAAAGTAGTACACAAGTCCTCGGACTCCAGAGCTCTGTTTCTCATTGATGAGACAAAGTGGAAGAAAATAGCAAGTATATAGCAAGCCAAAAGATTAACAGTGACAATAATAGAACAGTTAAGTTTCCCCACATAGAATAGCCTACTGACCATAAATCGATAACATAATTGACGAAGAATCAGATCAATACGGGGAATCGATAATGGCATTGGCATTAACAAACTTTCAGATTCAGATTTCTTTTATTGTCATTGTAACAAGTACAACGAAACGCAAGGTGCAGTCCTTTCAGTACAAAAATAAAAAAAATGCAAAAACATAAGAACTTGAGTAAACACTATATACAATATAAAGGAAATATATATATATAAACAAGCAACAAGAAATGAATCTATATAGAAAGATGAAATTAAATAATGAGCACGGTGTATATTGCACAGAGTGGATATTGGGCAGAGGTAGTGGAGTTGTATATTGTAGAGTGGAGTTGTATATTGCAATATCTGTGGTTGAACTTACCTCCATATTTAACAACAGATTTCTGGTGGCCTTGTAAGTGGGAAATTAGGGCATGGTATGGCCCTGCCTTGTGGCTCATCGGGCACTGAAAAGTGTCCACTCCCAATTTACAGAGCTCTGGGCATGTGTCCTCCCTAAATGTTGTGATGTTGGTATATAGGAGAATAAAATACGATTAAAAAAACTCACAGGCCTAATTCCTCACTTTATACATTTCATTCTGAAAATAAATAAAAGGAACTGTAAACTACACTTCAATCAAACTTAATCAACACACATATCAACGAAACTATTCTTTGAATATATTTTTGCTAAAGGAAAAAAAACAAGAAAAAAAAAAGCTTGATATGTTGAGTTAAATGAAAATACAAATATTCTGAGTATATTTGCGTGTTCCCCCACTGATTCTGTTATCATCCCTTGCTCACTCATTACTCTGACTTTCATATAGTCTAACACATGTAAAAGCCGACACATTGACATTTTCAGGGTATTGAGTTTGAAGAAATAGTTTATTTGAAAAAAAGTAATTAATGCTCTTTCTGCAGAGCAAAATGTCTTAAACGTTAACATTAAATTAAACGTCAATATCTTTCCAAAATGTAAACGACCTACGTGCTGCTGTCAACTGCAGTCGGTTGGGAATGTACAGTTAAAATGACATTAAGTGTTAATTTAATGACATTAAATGTTAACTTAGAAATACACCTGAATCTTCTTCTTCTTCTTCCTGGATTATTGGCGCGCATTGCCTTCTTCTTCCTCTTCTTCTTCTTCTAATGCTTTGGCACGCATTGCCTTCTTCTTCTTCTTCTACTGCTTCTCTACCTGCGCGCCACCATACCAACAGCAGGCGGGGGCATGGTGTGTAAGGGGCCGGGGGCGTGGTGTGTAGAGGGCGTGGTGTGTAGGGGGCGTGGTTTGCTGCGGCTTCGGGGA